AGATTCCTCACTGCACCTTCCCAAACGTGCTTCATTAACTATTGACCTCAACTCTGTGGTGTCTCTCATGTCCAATTACATCCCCGTCTTACCACGCACCATTCCTAGAACAACCCACTCTGCAGTTTTTTTAATTCGTTAATGGGATGAGGGTGTCGCTGGCCAGGCACATTTATTACCCATCCCTAATTGCCCAGAGGGAATTTCAAAGCCAATCAGACTGTGGGTCTGGAGTCACATATTGACTAGACCAGGTAAAGATTCCTTCCCTAAAGGACATTAATGAACCAGATGGGTTTTTCCAACAATTGACAATGGATTCATGGTCATCATTAGATTCCTAATTCCAGATATTTTATTGAATTCAAATTCCATCATCTGCCGTGGTGGGATTCAAATGTGGGTCCCCAGAATGTTATCTGGGGTCTCTGGATTAACATCCAGTGATAATACCACTAGGCCATCGCCTCCCCCTATTGCTGGAAGACCAGTATCTGTTGGTTTTGTGCCATCCTTGAGATGCCATTGTGCATCTGGACATATGTTGGTAATCTGGCATTACCCCTCACTAGCAGTGTAACGACAAAGCCACCTGCCCCTGGCACAGAGCTGGCAAGGTTGACACACCCTCACACATACAACCACATTCCCTCATTCTCATCGCTGTTAAACCACCAGGCCATACACTTTACCAGTCCTTAGATACATCCCATCTGAATCCGCCCCCATACTCTTTCCCAGTGGTCACCTGCATCTTGTTCTTGTCCAGCAAGGGAACAATATTCCAGACAAGTCATTCGACAGGCCCAACCATGAACCCTTATAAACAACCATCAAAAGGGAACATAAAGGAAATGAATACAGGTTGCAGCTTACACCAAAATGTGAACCAAATACTGGCTGGAATGACATTCACGTTGACTGGACCCAGGTATCAGTCAGGTCCTGTCTGCCTTGGAGCACCTGATGCAGCTGACTTCTATCCATCTATCTCCATCTCAATGTCCTCCTCCATGGAAGACTGCTCCCATTCTCCCAGTGCCTCATTTTTTTATCGCATTGCCTCACTGCCCGCACACCCCAGCAGACTAGAATGATGCGGCACACTGTCTGGACAATACTAGAGGCACATTCCCCCCCCCACCCCCCAACAACTGACTGCTTCAAGCTGTAGACTTAGACCTTCAGCAGCTCTAGGAACTGGTTTCAGCCCAACTTGGTGAAGGTATCACACTGGCTTATGACCAACACATTACATCAGAAAGGGCTGTGTTCTGATCTCCTTCCATTCCTAGACCCACCTCAACCACTTCACTCTCCATTGCATCATTAGAATCCATCGTTGTATTTATGTCACATTTAATGTTCCCCTTGTCCCCTTGGGGTGGCACGGTGGCTCAGTGGTTAGCACTACTGCCTCACAGCACCAGGGACCCAGGTTCAATTCCACCCTCAGGCAACTGTCTGTGTGGAGTTTGCACATTCTCCCCATATCTGCATGGGTTTTCTCCCACTATCCAAAGATGTGCAGGCTAGGTGGATTGGCCATGCTAAATTGCCCATAGTATTCAGGGGTGTATATATTAGTTGGGTTATAGGGGAATGTGACTGGGTGGGCTGCTCTGAGGGTCAGTGTGGACTTGTTGGGCTGAAGGGCCTGTTTCCACACTGTAGGGATTCTTAAAGAATACCCTTGGATGGGTCACATTTTTCAAGCATTTGCCTCCCTTTATGTTATTACCACTAGCCTCTGTAGTACTGATATGACTCTATTAGTTTAGCTGCAACAATGGCATGGTGAAATGCATCTTTGACCAGTATTTGACTCCTCAACACATTAATTCTGCATGGGTTGCACGTATAAAATGTTTACAAATTAGACAACCATGCTTCATGCATTTGCTTCTCAATGTCCTAACATCCAGCAGACATGGATTCTGAGCTTTCACCCATCAAAGTGACAGTGACAGTGACACAGCCCACCCTGGCCATTTTCCAGCCATTTCCAGTTGCATTGCACATCTAGAGAATGGCAAAGCTTCTGACGATGGGTACTGTCTGCAACAGGCTCTGCCTGGTTTCCAGAGAACCACATTCTATCCCACGACGAGCCCCCATGTCCCCTTTTACCTTGCTTTACCCCAACATTTCCACCCATCCCCCAAATGTGGAAACTGCTGTAAAAAGCAAAGTACTGCAGATTTTGGAAATCTTGGCAGGTCTAGTAACATATACAGTGAAAGAAAGGGAGTTAGTATTTCAAGTCCAAATGCTTTTCTTTTGAATGGGAAAGATGCTGTCTGAGGATCTTTGGTGAATATCCTCAGTGCATCTTGTAGATACCACTGCTGCTACTGAGCGTCAGTGGTGGAGAGAATGGATACTTGTGGATGTGGTGCCAATCAGTGGGTTGCTTTGTCCTGGATGGTGTCAAGCTTCTTGAGTGTTGTTGGGGCTGCACCCATCCAGACAAGTAAAGCGTATACTTATCACTTCCTACTCTAATACTTCTTATTTCTTTCAGTATTCTGTGCACTTGATGTCCCATGATAGCATACCACCAGATTCCTATGCCCTGAACAAGTTAGTTTAAATCCTGCACAATAACTCAAGGAAATCTCTGTTCAACGTAATTTGGGTGTGGAAGCTCAATCATTGAGTGTGTTCAGTACAGAGGTTGAGAAAATTCTAGTTTCTAATGCCATCAATGACACCATTTGGATAAGGTGCTTCTTACCCAGTCATAGAGCCATCATTTACATCTATATTAATGACTTGGAGGAGGTAACACAGTGTAATATATCCAAGTTTGCTGACTATACAAAAATAAGTGGGAGGACATATTGTTCAAGGACATGGGTGGCACGGTGGCTCAGTAGTTAGCACTGCTGCCTCATAACACCCGGGTTCGATTCCACCCTCGGGTGACTGTCTGTGTGGAGTTTGCACATTCTCCCCGTGTCTGCGTGGGTTTCCTCTGAGTGCTCTGGTTTCCTCCCACAATCCAAAGATGTGCAAGTTGGGTGGATTGGCCATGCTAAATTGCCCATAGTGTTCAGGGATGTGTAGATTAGGTAGGTTATAAGGGGATGGGTCTGGGAGGGATGCTCTGAGGGTCAGTGTGGACTCGTTGGGCCGAAGGGCCTGTTTCCACACTGTAGGGATTGTATCATTCATTAAAGAATCTGCAAGGGGATATGGATTGGTTGAGTGTGAGGAAAAAATATGGTAGGTGGAGTTTAATAAATTAAAAGTGTGTGGTCAAGCACTTTGTTAAGAATAATCAAGAGGTAGGCAATAATTTAAAGAGAGAGACTCCAAAGAAGTGCAGCACAGTGGGTCTGGATGTTTTAGTGCATGAAAAATCAAAATGTTGACCTGCAGCTGGAGCAAGTAATTAAGAAAGCAAATGGAATTTTGGCCTTTATTGCTCGTGGGTTGAAGTTTAAAAATGGGGAAGGCTGTACAGGATGTTGGTGAGACCGCACCTGGAGTACTGTATGCTGTTGTGGTCCCACATTAAGAAAGGGATATACTTATATCTGAGACAGTCCAAAAGATTTTCACTAGACTGATTCTTGGAAGGAAGGGGTTGACATATCAAGAGTGACTAAACAGATTAGGGGTTTGTGAAATTTTAGAAGAATGAGGGGCGATCTTATTGAAATACAGATTCTGAGGAGTTTTAACAGTGGATGTGAAGATATTTCCACTAATGGGGGAGTCGGAAGTTAGGGAACATTGTTACAGAATAAATGGATACTTATTTAAAACTGACAAGTTAAGAATTTCTTCCCTGAGAGGATGTGAACGTGTGGAATTCACAACCCCAAAGAGTTGTGGAGGCTAGAACATATATAAAAAAAAACCCAAAGAACTGGGGATGCTGGAAATCAAAAACAAAAGCAGAAATTGCTGGAAAATCACAGCAGGTCTGGCAGCATCTGTGGAGAGTAAGTTCAGTTAATGTTTCGGATCAAGTGACCCTTCTGTTCTTTGTTATGTTTAAAGAGGAGGTAGATAGATCATTTTGAAATGCTGTGATGAGTTGGCCCAAAAGCAGAGACCCAGAATGACATTTGTCCACGTTTCTATTGCCGAGTGTAGTTGCCATCCAGTGTCTTAGCATTAGCTAACCAGGTCTATCTGGCAGTGGTACCCCATGTGACCAGAACATTTCACCTGTACAGGGATAGCTACCTCTGCTGGAAGCATTAATGTACAATTCAACATATACTCCCTGCCTCCAGCTGCTCCCAACTCTCTCACCACGGTTGCCTGACACATCAGGCTTTGCAATTGTGCCTTCCCCAACTGACGGCCACTCAGTTACCTTGGTGCTTAGTTAAAGTATCTTTAACACCATTAGAGATAGGAACAGGAGTAGGCTGTTTGGCCCCTCAAGCCTGTTCCACCATTCAGTAGGATCCTGGCTGATCCAGTATTCCCCATGTCCATTGGAAGCTCTTTCCCCATATCCTTGATTCCCCGGCTGATTAAGTTTCTATCATGTTTAAACAAAAATGTAGGAGGAAAACAGTCCTGTTTCTCCCAGATTTGAGTATCCTGCTGGAAGTAAATAATCCAATTGGAGAATTTAGGAGAAACATCTTCATCCAGAGAGTGGGGTTGAGGAGTGGGAGGCTTTCTCTGCAGGGAGTCGGATTTAATGGAATAGTACTGATACATTGAAGCTAGAAGCAACATAAACACAGGAAGGAGCAAAAGGGTAAACTGAAAGTGATGAGGGGTGAGGCTGAGACTCGTGTGATGAAGAAACACTAGCACAGATTAAATGGGCTGAATGGCCTGATTATGTGTAAAGTTGGGTGACTTGGTGTTATGTACAGTGGGTGACTGGACCTGGAATAACTTGGAGTTAAAATGGTCACTGATTTGAACTAATGAAAACACAAGAGGAGATGCAGTGGTAATAAATAGCCTGCTAGGGTAACTAGTTAGGCATCATGCTCAGTAACAATCTGCATCAGGAGCTTCTGCATTTTTAAGACTTTCATTTTATTAAAGGAACAGGCACCCATCTCCCTGTTTTTATCTCTAGCTGTTAATACACATTCATTGTTGACTTTGCAATTGGACAGTGCTGGGGATGGATAGTCAGTTCAGCTCATGTCTCCTCCTGCTGCCTTCACATGTATGGTCACCTTTCGGGGGTTATAGCAAGGATTACGCTTGACAAAAATGCCCGCTCCATCTGGTTTGGCCTGGCCTCTCCAAGCTGGGCTATGTTGGCAGCACAATTCCAGTGGGGATCTCAGCACTCTGTTGCTGGGTGACTCCCTGGCATCAGGTCCACTCACAGCTTCTGCCATTAAATATAAATAGTCTGGGCTATCCCCAGGGGGTTCCCAGCTGGCACCTTCTGTGCTCCCATTCTGATCCTCATCCTCCTCTTGTCTCCCGATGCAGCTCAGTAACCTCCTGAGCTGGAATCCCCGGAATTGAGCCTGAATTTTCACTGCTGCTTCTCTCTGCTTTTGAATTTCACACCGGGTCTGGTATCCTCTCCAAACTGCCTGGATGGTGCAGGCAGCTTTAACTTCGTCCTGGAGCTGCTTCCTGGTTTGGATGGGCCTTTGCAGAGAGCGGCTGGGTTTCCCACCCTCTCTGCCAGGGGTTACTCCTGTTTCTGGGACACAGGGAGGAGAGATAAGGCTGACGGTTGGTAGCTTCCTTCTGCCTGTCTCCCGTCTTTGAGAAGGCTGACGGAACATTTCGGATTTACTGTCAATGAGTTCTGACCCAGCGTCCACATCCCAAGTATCAGCCGAGGGCGAATTGGTCGTCTCCGCTCCAGGTTTCTCAGACCCTGTCTCAGGCCTGGTCCCTGGGCTTTTGCTCAGATGCTTGTTTGATTCCTTTGTGTAAACCAAGGGGAAAATCCCTTCATTTTCAAACTCTTTCCTGATTCGGTAACTGCGGAAAATGGCCTGGATTTTTGTAGCTGCATCAACTTGTTGCCTGAGGAGCCTGCGGGTACAATGACCCTTCCACACTGACTGGATGGTGCCAGCAGCAGCATTCTCTTCCCTCACCTGCTTCAGGGTCTTCCGCCCTGAGGGTTTGGATGGACTGGGGGAAGTCTGTCTGGATGTTTCCAGTTCAGAAAGATTGAAGTCCTGCTTGGAGACAGGAGGCTTGCTGGAGGATCCGTCACTGGAAGAGGACTCTGAGCTAAGCTCCTCTGTGTAACGGATGAGCTTGCGAGCTTTGTTGGAGGTGTAGGGAGTGCATTTCACCAGGTACTGGGACACTGTCTTGTTTATCTCACATTGACCCTCCACCTTCTCCCGACTCTTGTAACTGTACCTGGGCCTTGCTGCTGTAATCCCCAGGATGTTTGACGTTCTCTCCTTGTTCATCATGTTTTGGTGTTTCTGCCATTTCTCTGACTTCATCTGGTTCAAACTCCTTTCTTTGGGGCTGTTAAACTCTGCTTGGGTTTGTATGGTATTATAGTGTTCACTCATTGAGGTGGTATCACCGGCACCTTCTATTAGACAGCCAGGAACAAACATGTTACTCTTGGGATCTTGGTCCATCTGAATGGCCGACACTGTCCTTAAGCAGTTTTCCTCTCCAGAGTCTGGGCACCAACTCAGGAAACGTCTGGTTTTGGTCCCTTGTACAGTGTCACCCTTCCCCGATACACAGTCATTTCTGTCCGAGTACAGGCGTGAGGCATTCTCTGTTGACCTGCTGCCAGTTGATGACACCCTCCTTGTTCCTGACGCAGATAGAACGGAGCTGGAGTTCCGGTGGGGGCTGCCCTGAATGGCAGCTTGTGATTTTGTAAACCCTGGGGTGTAGGACATGTTATAATCCACCATCTCAGCCTCCTCGTCCTGGGGTATTATGTTGAGTTTGGAGTTGGCTTTGAGATTGCGCCTGGCCAGGTAACCCCTGAAAAAGGATTGGATGTAGATGGCGGCTCCGATTTTAATAGCTAGGTCCCTCCGTGCCAAATAGCCTCTCCAGTACGCCTGGATAGTGGTGGCAGCATAGATCTTTCGCTGTAAAGTGCTAGCACACCTGGGGCTTTGCTTTATGTGCAGTTGGACAGGTTTTGGCTGCCAGTAATGCCGACTCTGGATGTGAATCTGCCCAGCTTCTAGCAGCCGCTGCTGCTCTTGGCATTGCACCCAGGAGACTGGCTGTTTCACATGGATGGGGAGAGGTCTGCTAACCGGTTCCAGGAGAATCTTCCGGACTTGGTAACCTCTCCAAAAAGATTGCAGGAGGATAGCTGCACCCTGCTCTATGCAGAGTTGTTTCCGGGTGCAGTAACCTCGCCAGAGGGCCTGAATCTTTGATGCTGCAAAGTTCATCAATTTCAGTAACTCCTCTGCCATGATCTCCTGCTGTAGCTCACTGCAGTGGGGAGGTGTCAATGAGGAAATATTTGGCTTCAAACCTGGTATAGGGGCTCCAGGCTCAGATATCCTTCGGCCCAGGTTTACAGGGAGCTGACAGGGCCTTGCAGGTTGCATTTCTGGGAATAGATCTGATGGTTCACACAGAAACTAAAATCTATGGAAGAAAGAAATACATTTGTGAATATCAATAGCAACAACTTCCATTTATATAGCACCTTTAAGGTATGTAAAACATTCTAAGATTCTTCATAGGAGCGATTACCAAACAATATTTAACACTGAGCAGCACTAGCTATGAATGCAAGTGACCTGAAGCTCAGTCAAAGATTAGGTTTTAAGGAGTGTCTTAAAGGTGAACATTCTGGTGGCAGATGCACAGAAGCATATGGAGAGAATTCCAGAGCAATTTCAGCAGCTGAAGGCAGAGCTGCCAATGTGGGAGTGATGGGAACCAGGAGATGCTCGAGAGGCCAGCATTAGAGGAACACAGAGATCTGAAAGGGTTTTAAGGAGTGGTATAGGTAGAGATGGGCAGGCATCTGAAGTTGTAACAGTTTCAAATAGAAACATATAAATTAGGGGCAGGAGTAGGCCCCTTGGCCCTTCAAGCCTGCTGCACCATTCAATATGATCATAGCCGATCCTGTACCTCAATGCAACACTCCCACTTCTCCCCATAGCCGTCTATGCCTTTAACCTAACAAGTTATTTATTTCTTTCTTGAATGTATTCAGTGTTTTGGGCTCCACAGCCTGTCATAGAGAATTCCACAGACTAATTACCTTCTAAGTATAAAGAAATGTTTCCTTATCTCAATCCAAAATGGTTTACCCATGTCTCCTGGTTCTTACTCCTGCATCCCCTCCCCCCACAACCCCCACCACTGAAACATCCTCCCTGCATCTAGTCTGACCAGCCCTGTTAGAATTTTATACCTTTCAAATAGATCCCCTCTCATCCTTCTAAACCCTGGTGAATACAAGCCCAGTCAAACCCATCTCTCCTTGGAGGACAGTCCTGCCATCCCCAGTATCAGCCGAGTGAACTGCCCCTTCTTTGACAAACATAAACGTTCTTAGGTTAGAGACTGAAACTGCTCCAGGTGTGGTCTCATCAAGGCCCTGTTTAACTGCAATGAGACACCCCTTTTTCTGAACTCAAATCCTCTTGCAATGAAAGCCAATGTACCATTTGTCTTCCTAATTGCTTGCTGCACCTGTCTGTCTACTTTCACTGACTGGTGTTCAAGGACACCCAGATCCCTTTGTACATCTACACTTCCCAATCTATCACCATTTCAATTACACTCATGCTGTGTTTTTCACTGAAGTGCATAACCCAATATTTAGCCACATTGAACTGCATCTACTACTATGTGTTTGCCCAGTCAACTTGTCTAGACTGCCCTGATGCCTCCTGGCATCCTCTTCACAACTCACAATCCCACCCAGTTTTATGTCACCAGCCAACTTGGAGATGTTGTTTTTGGTTTTCTCATCCAGGTCATGTGTGTAGATTGTGAACAGCTGGGGCCAAAGCACTGATCCTTGTGGTACCCCACCAATCACTGCCTGATGCTCAAGTAAGGACTCATTTATTCCAATTCTTGGTTTCCTGTCTATCAACCAGTTCTTGATCCACACCAACAGACCACCCGTATCTCCCGGGCTTTAAGTTTTCCCACTAACCTCGTATGAGTCTTTTCAAATGTCTTCTGAAAAGATGTCTTCTCCATCCACTGGTTCTCCCTTATCTAATCTACTAGTTACATCCTCGAAAAACTCCAGTTGATTTGTTTTGCATGATTTGCCTTTCATAAACCCATACTGGCTTTGTCTAATCCCATTAGTGCTTTCCAGGGCCACTTTCTTTAATACTCTGGGGAGGGCTGTAGGAGGTTACAGAGATAGGGAAGGGTATAGGGGCTGGAGGAGGTGACAGAGAAAGGGAGGGGTGTAGGGGCTGGAGGAGATTACAGGGATAGGGAGGGGGTGTAGGGTTTGGAGGAGGATACAGACATAGGGAGGGGGTGTAGGAGCTGTAGGAGGTTATAGAGATAGGGATGTGTGATAGGGCTGGAGGAGATTACAGAGATAGGGAGGGCTATAGCAGCTGAAGGAGGTTACAGGGATAGGGAGGGGGTGTAGGGGCTGGAGGAGGTTGCAGGGATAGGGAGGGGAGTAGTGGCTGGAGGAGGTTGCAGGAATAGGGAGGGGCATAGGGGCTGGAGGAGGTTACAGAAACAGGGAGGTGTGTAGGGGCTGGAGGAGGTTACAGAGATAGGGAAGTGTGTAGGGGCTGGAGGAGGTGACAGAGATAGGGAAGGGTGTAGGGGCTGGAGGAGGTGACAGAGATGGGAAGGGTGTAGGGGCTGGAGTAGGTGACAGAGATAGGGAGGGGTGTAGGGGCTGGAGGAGGTTACAGGGATAGGGAGGGGGTGTAGCGTTTGGAGGAGGTTACAGACATAGGGAGGGAGTGTAGGAGCTGTAGGAGGTTATAGAGATAGGGATGTGTGATGGGGCTGGAGGAGGTTACAGAGAAGGGAGGGCTGTGGCAGCTGAAGGAGGTTACAGGGATAGGGAGGGGGTGTAGGGGCTGGAGGAGGTTACAGGGATAGGGAGGGGTGTAGTGGCTGGAGGAGGCTGCAGGGATAGGGAGGGGGTGTAGGGGGTGTAGGGGCTGGAGGAGGTGACAGAGATAGGGAAGGGTGTAGGGGCTGGAGGAGGTGACAGAGATGGGAAGGGTGTAGGGGCTGGAGTAGGTGACAGAGATAGGGAGGGGTGTAGGGGCTGGAGGAGGTGACAGAGAAAGGGAGGGGTGTAGGGGCTGGAGGAGGTTACAGGGATAGGGAGGGGGTGTAGCGTTTGGAGGAGGTTACAGACATAGGGAGGGAGTGTAGGAGCTGTAGGAGGTTATAGAGATAGGGATGTGTGATGGGGCTGGAGGAGGTTACAGAGAAGGGAGGGCTGTGGCAGCTGAAGGAGGTTACAGGGATAGGGAGGGGG